GCCAAAAAATACATCGAAACTGTCCTGAAACCAAAATTGATACCTTCCATCAGGGATCTCTTCCCCAACAACGCACCATTTATTTTTCAGCAGGATTCAGCTCCATGTCACACAGCAAAAGTATGCATAGCATGGTTTCAAAATAAACACCACACTTGGGTCCACACTTTTGGCCACCACTGTATATATATATATAAAAAGTTGAAAATGATACAAAGTTCCTTTTTCTTCCTTGCCTTGTTTTATTTGTATTTTTATCTTTAAAGTATTCTGTTTTCAAATAAAAATGTAAAAGTTTCAAAGGGTAAGTTAGTGATAAAAAATTTAATTGGATGATTTTTTGACACACATCGAAGATGGCTTCCAATATTTATCACGGTTATGCTAAAAAAAAAGGTTTTGAGAGTTATGTTCAAGAACAGAAGACTTAAAAAAGGTACACGTACAGTCAGCAAAAAAAAAAAAGATATCACCCTGAATAACTTTTGTTCTAATGATCGGATTTTCACGATCTAAGTGTCAATCTTAATGGTTCCCGGGGGTGACCTCAAANTTTTTTTTTTTTGCTGACTGTACATTTGTCTAATATAGCCTAAACATAAGAATGCCTTATAAACATTTTTCACGCTAATAAAAGTTGTTAGGCTATCACAGATGCGATTTAATAAATTAATAAACAGAGATGAAGTAGGAACAAAAAAATAAAGAGCAAATGTTTTCATAGCAGAAGCTTTTTTTAAAGGGTAATAAATATCTATCCATAAGATATTTTATGCAATAATGAACATGATTAGTTATGCACAATGAAGATTTGCGCTTATCGTCTTCATCCTCATTAGCAGCTTCTATTATTTAACGATAAAATGTATAAAATATTATCCTTAAATAAAATATTTCTCGATATTTAAATTTATATACCTTATGTTTAAAATTATTTTATACTTACGATGTTCATTCTCATCTGTTATAATGATACACAGAGTTATAATTTATTAAATTCATATTAATTTCATACAAAACTAATTAACTAAATTTCAATTAAAAACAATAAATGAGTAATTAAATAAAACATTTTTTTTTCCTTTTTCAAGTAGGAAAATGTATTATATTTTATTTAATACAAGCAGCTCTTTGTTTCAATTTCAAATAAGAAATATTATTGTACGATTAAAAAATAGTTAAATGAAAGGTTGGAAAATTCAATCTATTAAATTAATCCTATTAAACTTAATCTAATTTTGATCAAAATACTAGAAGGCTTTTAAGCATTTCTCACACTGATGAAAATTATTCGGTTATCACAGTTTCGATTTTATAAATTAATAAACAAAGATGAGGCAGGAAAGAAAAGAGTAAATGTTTTCTTAACAGAAGCTTTGTTTAATAGGTAAGAATATCTATCGTTAAGTTATTTTATGCACTAATGAACGTAATTAGTTATGTACAATGAACATTTGTGCTTACCGTCTTCATCTTCGTCAGCATCTTCTATTTTTTAACAATAAAAAGCATGAAATATTAAAATTAAATAAAATATTTTTCATAACGGATATTTAAATTTATATATCTAATGTTTAAAATTATTTTATACTTACCATACCCATAGTCAGCTATTACAGTAATACACAGAATTATAGATATATTAAATTTACATTAATTTTATTCGTAAGTCATTAACTAAATTTCAATCAAAAACATTGCACGAGTATTTTTTAAAAAAACAAAATTTTTTTTCCTTTTAGAAGCAGGAAAATGTATTATGTTTAATTCAATGCAAGAAGCGCTATGTTTCAATTTCAAAAAAGAAATATTATTGCTCTTTCAAAAAATAGTTAAATGAAAAGTATGAAAATTCAATTAATTTTATGCAATTAAAGCAACCCTTCATTTAAATTTGAGGTAAGAATCATTATTTAAGTATTAAAACGTTATTTTAATTTTGAAACAAGAAAATATGCAAATCAAAGTAATTACATTATTTTTGTTACTTGTGTTATTAAATTTAGGGTGAGTTTAAACTATTAATTTTTGTAAGTTCTTTCATTATTGTCTTAGAACATGGAATCTGCTGACTTCATTGTTAATCTTTCATTTGTTATTTTTCTCATACTGATTTTCGAATACAATTGAAGGTAGCTTCAAACAATCATTCTATCCCTAATTTTTATTTCTGTCACAAATCGAAGAAGGTTTTGAGGTTTTTCCTACGAACTCTTGTCATTTTCGCTAATGTTTCCTCTGAGGGATTAATTTTCGAGCTACTAAAATGCATATTGTATTTTTAACGAGAATTTTAATCATCACCGATAATTGAGCCATGGATCACAGGATTAGCATTTTGAGTCGAACCATACCACGTATTCAGGCCATCAGGCTGTCTGACGCAATCCAATCTTTTCAAGTCATTTCCAATATGTATCCAGCAAAAACCTATCTTTACAATTAGCGTGAACTACGGCTCCGTAACAGAATTATATAGGTCTTTTGAAAAAACAAGAAAAATCACGAAGTTTTTCTGAACACAAACTGATAGCATTAATTTCAATTTTATCTAAGAAGCAATAAAAAAAAAATTTTTTTTTTGTCTGTTTATATTAAAAGTTTATGAAAATAACATAAGTTTGGTTGCTGTTTTTATGTAATAATAGTTTTATTTTTTATTTATTTAACCCATTTAGGAAGAATAGTTTATTTCTGACGAAATGGTCACATAATATTATGATGCTACCATTTTTAATGCTAGGGTCATGTCTATCTACTCTGATAATTTTATTAAAAACATGCATGCTATCTATTCTATAATACCTCTACTATAATTCTGCACTAGGAAAAAATTTGGAAAATTAGAGAATCTATATAAATGAAACTTAGGCTATCTATATTTTTTTGTCGGAGATTTATCACACTTATTTAAAAAAAACATTTCTGAGAGTTATGTTCAGGAGCAGAAGATTAAAAAAAGGTACACATATTTAATATAACATATTTTTTTCATAATGTTAGAAGGCCTTATAAAAATTTCTCACACTGATAAAAATCATAAGACTGTGACAGTTTTTATTTAATAAATTAATAAACAAAGATAAAGCAGAAAAAAGAATAAAGAGTTAATGCTTTCATAGCAGAAGCTTTGTTTAATGGATAAGAATTCCTGGATGATTCTCTCAAAATACAACAATTGACAGTCCCTTGCTTCAAGATTAAATACTGTAGTACTAAAAGAACTTTTTTTAAAAAAGTTAAAAAATAACATTGCTGTTAGCAGTTTAAAATGACTTTGCATTAGCATTGACTGTTTTGCACACTTAAGAAATTTAATTGAATTTCAAAATGTCATTTTCCTGGTATGTCACAAACAGTATTTCCAATAATAACTAGCTTCAAAACCTCCCATATATTTTTCAATATCTAATTATTTTTATCTCAACCGTTGTAAGCATTTCTAGAATATATGCAGAGGGTATTAATTCCAAAAACTTTGTTGAAAAATGTTTTTTCTGTCAATAATTTGTTTGTCTCATGAAAATCAGTCCTTTTCCTGGCCACTTTTGTTTTTAGTAATTTATAACCAAAATAGATAGTGCCAGCAATCAATATCTTTGGTTAAGAGATTGATTAGAATACCATCCTATCAGAACAAGTTTAAT